CCTCTCTTGGTTGTGACGTGGTTTGGATGACCTTGGCAGTTTTGGGGAGGCCTAGGCAGGCATTTTGTAGATGCCCCCTGATGGGATTTGTCTCATGTTTTTCTCGTGATCAGAGGGGGTGATAGGTTTTGGGAAGAGGACCACAGATGCCCAAGTGCCGTTTCCTTCGCATCACGTGATCACCGTGACTTACCCTTGTTGACTCTGACCTTGGCCGCCTGGCCGAGGTGCGTCCATCGGGTTCCCGCGTGCAGTGCCTGCCCCCTCTGCCCATAGCCCTCTTGGAAGGAAGTGGCCCTTGCACAGCCCACACGGAGGGTCAGGAGTTGGGCTGCAGCTCCTTGAAGGGAGCATGTACAGAAACTACTTGGATGCTTTTTCTGTATGAGAGGTGTCTTCTCTGTCCCACTTATTTATTTAATCATTTATTTATATCAGTAAGGGCTCATGCATGTTTATTTTATACTCTCTGTTATGATCAGCCAGCTATAGGAGGCAGAGGCTGTCAGGAGAGCGAAAGGTGGACAATGATTTTTACTTTCTTTGAGGGGATGAAGATGGGGAGAATAGGGACCCACAGAAGCCCACAGCCCTGGAGCCCAGGAGTGGGGTGGTGCTGGCCCCGTAACCACCTCCTGCTTAGTGTGAATCTGCCAAACGCCTCCCTCCAGGGACTGCTGCCCCTTCCAACTCCTTCTCCTTATATCCACCTCTCCCATCAGCGTGCACAGCCCTGTGTAACCCCAGTGGTGCTTAATAAGTAACTTGCCTTACAAACATTTTGAATTACTTACATTAAATAATACTTATAACTGACCAGATGTTCTTAAAATAGTTTGTTGTTTCTTATGACTAGACATTTCCATTAGGAAAACAAAGACTATTTTTTTTTCTTTTCTGGTGTATTGTGACTCTCTTAGCAAATTCCTATTTCAAGTTTGCAGCCGTTGGATGTTTGCAAAATCATAATTAGCCCATCCTGTAGACAGCAAAGTTCTGTGGTAAGCACTGTGTGCTTCTTTTTTTTGTAAAATCTGCCCTGTTGTCATCACCATTTGAATCATGATTTTGAGCACACCTCAAATAGCATCTACTCTAGAGGGGAAAGGATATGATGTTGTACCAGGAAATAGAATTAGGCCTGCTTCACAGGTCACTCCAGGGAGGGAGGTGAGGGGCCACGCTGACATGCCTGGGCAGTGGGAAGCCACACTGTCTAGAGGTCAAGTGGAAATCATGGTCCAGGAAGAGAGGAAGCAGGAAGTCAAGCGTGCAATTAGTGCTGAGGGTCACGTCTTCAGAGAGGCTGTCAACAGGAAAAGGAGCCATGCCAGAAGCTGGGAAGAGCGAGTATTGTCTGGGAAGGAGCAAACCAGGGTGGGACACGGGGTCCCAGGTGAGAGGCAGCGAGTGCTTATGGGGCAGAGCTTGTGCACTCGATGTGCCCACTGGGACTTGCCATGGGGCGGGGGTGTGGGCTTAAGGACTCTATGTTGAAGGGTTAGACCCTAGATATCTGCAAATCTGCAGCACATTTTGGGGTGATGTCCTGTCTTGGACCACAGTGCGTGGCGGACAATGAAACGGGAGGCTTCCGGGTTTTTGGTCTTTCCTTCTTTCAAAAATTATGGCTGCACGCTTGAATGTCTTGGAAGACTAAGTTCGTCATATCAGTTGTCTGCTGAAAAGCAACTTTTCTCCTCTCTCCTCTCTTGAGTCTGTCGTTAATGTCCGCCTTCTTAAACCTGACATTTAATGATTTCCACTTGGCAAGCGGGTCCTGTATCCCAGGAATCTTAGGTACGTTCCTTCCCACTCACTCTCTACCGCAGGTGTCCATGGGAGGTGATGGGTATAGTTTTTAGAGAAGCGATGTAGTTATTAAAACTAAGGTTCATAGAGGTTATGTAATTTCTCCAGAAGCGCCTGACCAGGTGGCAGAACATGAATTTGGACCAGGTCTGCTCCTTCCAAGGTGTGATCTCTTTACCTAAGGCTGCTACCTCAATGCCCCAAGAATCTGACCCGAGGCCTTGTCAGCAGACTTATCAAGCACCTACCCCAAGCTCCCCGGGATGGAGAGGCCAGTTAGCACCCTCTGCCTCCCAGGGACATGTCCAATCCTGAGGGACCTTGCAAGCCACAAAGGTTGGTGATCCCTGTTAGGACTGCTAACATTCTTAATCAAAGCATAATCATCTCTCTGTCTGTGAGCTTGGGTACATCTTGCTTTGGAAAAAAAATCACGAAGTATCAAAACAGAAAAGGATGCAGGTAAGTATAATGAAAAAAAATGTTGGCCCATGAGCCCAGGACCTAGAAAACCTTTGTGGACATTTACAGTGATGATAAGAAGGAAGCGTCAGCAGTTCCACGTGTGGAGAAGTGTTCCAAGTGAATATGAAGTCTGGGAGGTGAGCAGCGTGGATTTTGGCTCCTTCTGTGCCCCCCTGGAGCTGAAGAGACCCTCAGGTCATCTAAGTGTGCTGGTCCCATTGGCTCTACGTCCAATTGTGAGCCTTGTTTCAATTATCTAGAAGACTCCCATCAATGCAAACAGTTCATGAATTTGTGTACAAGAGTTCTTTTGTAACCACGGGACATGCACTTACCTTAGACTCAGTTGCTGTCAGTTACCAACGTCCTGGGAAGTTCCTAGACTCGTCTTCCCGCCACCCACTCCCTGTGTCCACCCCCTGCCCTGAATGCACATCTCCCCTCTTGACGCCCAGGGTGGACCCTGTTGGCCTTCAGCAACCCCCAGGTGCTGAGCGCTTAGGGGTCAGGTATTCCCTTGTACTTAGGTCACTCGTGTGCCTTTCTTGTGTTCATTACCTCTTACCTCCTCTGAGCATCTCGAGGCTGTGCATCTCTAACCCCCGGGTCACACACGTCTTCCCCACCCTGGTGCCCTGCGGAGAATCCACAGTGGTTTGTCCCAACTTAACATTTCCTTAGTGATACCCTGTGAGCAATGATGATAAAACTTGAGGAAAAAAGATACAATACAAAAAAAAAATTAAGACAACTCCTTGTCCCTGGGAATATATTGCATAAATGATGGTAACATCCAACACCTCGTTGTAGAGCAGGGGGCATCATCAGCCTTTCTCACAGTGGACCAAACTGTGGCTAAGGGAGACTTTCAGGGGGAGAGGAGAGCGTTTCGTCTCCCTGCCAGGCCCCTTATGTGAGTGCTGCTGACCCTCACGGCAGCCTTGTAAGAAGGGCAGTACCCGCCCATCAAACAGATGAGCAAACTGAGGCGACAGCGGCCAGGTCACTGGGCAGTGTACTGCCACGGGCGTTCTGCTTGCTGGCAGAGCCCTCAGTCCCTTCTGCCCCTACCATGCTGCCTCCACTCTCTGTCATCTGGGGGAGGATGCTGGGATGTTTCTCTTTCCCCTTTTGGAATCCACTCCTTTTCACCTGTGTGAGATGTCACCTCCTCTCCAAACACAAGCCTCAACTCCCCCATGAAGCTCCTCTGTGCTGACGGTTCCGCACAGACGTGTTCTTGTCTTTAGCAAGTGCCTTGAGCACCGAGTTCACACCTAATCACATACTGCCTTGTACGGTGAAAAGGTTGGCTTTTGCATTGGTGCAGGCTGTGGCTGAATGGAACCTGAAGACCCCAAAGTGGGGGTCTGTGTCTCACACACCTTCCAGTCTTCCCGAAGTCCTAGAGCCACCTTGTGCATGTTCTGGCCAATGGCTGATGTTTTGTTCTGTTTTGTTTTCCTTTTCCTTCATGTGTTACCCCTTTGTCATGCTGTATACAACCCTCCGCTGTACGCATGAAGGCGAACGAGACAAATCCCCTTTCCACAACCCCACAAACCAGCGGGAAGTGTGGGTGTTCTCACTCTCCACATTTCCTCTTCCTCAGCCCAGAGGCCAAGCTAATACGGGGCACCACATAACAAACTCAGTTTGAATCCTGAGATTTGGGGAGCAAGTAGTGAGAGGTCAAATGTACAGGGATTTTATCTGAAATTGTAACGGAATCTTCTCTAGTCCTGAGTTCAGGACACGTGAGTTTGGAGAACAGGGGGACACTAGTATAATAAAACACTTCCCTACCGTAGGTGCAAATAAAGGCCATTGACTTAAGTCAAATGCTCAGGGTCATGAAAATTCATATCCTCAGGTGCAAAAATTTGTAAATTAGCCATCAGGCAATCATTGAGAGGCCACCATGCTGAGTAGGGACTGAGACATATACCCTCCCGCCTTCCCTAAGAAGACGCCCTGTGATAAATGTACCAATAGGTAGTCATGCTCTCAGGGGAACACAGCCTGTGTGCAAGGATTCAGGAAGTGGCCAGTGGCTGTTCCTGGAGGGTGGGGACGGGCAGGTGGCATCCGTCACTGAGTGGTACTATAGGATGCACTCCACCCGTATGAATGAACAAGTTTGCCACAGGCCCTTGCCTTCCTGAAACATGCATTTTAGAAAACCTGCCAGGGCTAAAGGAGGCAGTGGTGTTTGCGCTGAGTAGAGGTCAGATAACCCCTGGGATGTGTGGACAGAAGCCAGTGTGGAAAGGCTAACCCATTTGGAGGGCACAGAGGGCACAGTGGGACTCACTGACTGGTTTGCTGGGAATGTTTCTACAATAGACACTGGTCAGCAGTTCAGTCTGATCAATAAGTACTTTAATGAAAACTTCTCTTCCAGGCTGCTAAGGTTTTGCCCTCCTGGGCTGGGTGCTTGGGTGGTGAGCCAGGTCCTACTCACTGTCCATTGGCGGGATCGGGGAAGATGAGCAGGGGCATGTCATTTGCCCTTTCACGGGTAGAGATGAACATTGCCATCAGCGAGAGGAGGCACCCATGGACCCCCAGAGGAGGCACCTCTGGCTGGAACTTCTCAGAGGACCCGAATGGGCTCTTGAGCAGCCCTGCCCACCCCCAGGCACGGCTGCCTCCCGGGGCCCCAGGGCTGTGTGTCCGGGAGGAGGCTGCGGGGTCTGACGGCTATGCTTCTCTCATTTCAGACTGCTCTGCCATGACCACGGCGCGGTACCGGCCCACGTGGGACCTGGCCCTCGACCCGCTGGTGTCATGCAAGCTCTGCCTAGGGGAGTACCCGCTGGAGCAGATGACGACCATAACCCAGTGCCAGTGCATCTTCTGTACTCTGGTGGGTCTCTGCAGAAAACACCTGTTTAAGAGAATTCCGGGGGGGAGCCTTTTGCTTTCATTTTTGTGACGCCCACCCAAACCTTTGACCCCACTCTGCTCGGGATAGAGCCTCCCATCTGAGGCTTTCCTGTAGCTGCTGGAGGAATCCTCTACGCCAGTTGGGCTCCCCAACTAGATGTCCTCCACAGGTGCTCACGACGAAGAAGTCATCCCTTAAACACAATTTGGGAAGCGAGGAGCGCCATTTAGAAAGCCCAAGCAGGGCATGTGCCCTTCTTTCCAGAAAGGAAAAGCTTTGCCACACCTCCTTTTAAATCTAATTTATTAGCAGGTACACGCTTGCACACCCCTGTGGGTGCCACTCCCGGGCGTGTGCCAAGCTGCAGCGCTCAGCGGCCCTGTCGGCTCTCGCAGGCTCAGTGCTGACCTGGGAGGCACGCATCCTGAAATCACACTTAAATTCCTTAAGATGCAGCCAACAATATTTGGGGCCAAATGATCTTCTCTTAATGATTATGGAGGCTTCTGTTTCTGTCAGCCTAACTCAGACCTAACACTCTACCCATCATAAAGGGAAAATGAGGCTGTCAGGTTTATTTTCGATTTGTCTCATTTAGTTTTATTTGATTTTTCTCTCCATTCAAAGAGTACCAAAAGAAGGCCAGAAAAGAGAAAAGAATCACTTTCTACAAGCTATAAAAAAACAAAAGTGTGGCTTCTGAATTTAACTGTATTATAAATGGCCCACATGGGTGGCCTGCCCGGGTATTCCTCGGATATCTAGATTAGAATCTGCTCCGACACCATCTTTCCTACCCCTTTGCATCACGTGTGTTCCTCCTCCTTGTCCATGTCTGACAGACCTTATTTCATCTGTGTCTAAGCAACTCCCTGGGGTGCAGGTACATTCAGTGTCATCTCCGTTTTAACGATAAGGAAACTGAGCTTCACAGATGTTTAAGTACACCTGCCTTCCACTTGTGCTGGACTCTGGCTTTCTGAGGAGCAGATTCTGTGCCCTAAACACTTGGTTTCCTGCAGGACTCCTGAGATCTAGTCAATAAATGTCCACTGGATGAGCCACAGGGAGTCTGCCTCAGTGTTGACGTCTGAGAAATGGGCCTCACGGAAGTCCCGGGAAGGTGACTCCAACCTGGAGGACAGCAGATTGATGTTGTCGTTTCTCTGAGATGGGGAAGGATGGGAGGGAGAGAGGCGGTGGGGGAGGAGGAGAGACAGACCTCCTGCCAGTGGCTAGGTGAATCGGACGCATTTTTATCCCAAGGGGATGAGCTGGGATGGCAGAGCCTCAGGAGCTTTGTACAGATGCCTGAAGCGAAGCCTCCCACAGCCTCAGCCAGTTGATGGAGTCCATCGGCCCAGGTGCCTCGGGCCTCCTTGCTGTCCCTGCCACAGGCCTGCTTTGTGCGGATGGCCTCATGAGACCATAGCTTGTTTTCTTGCCCTTGAAGTACTCTGTTTGCCTGACCCGTTTGCCCAGCCTTCCTTGTGCTGTTTCTGGTTTTCTATTTCTAGAGAATTGTAGTAAAAATAAATAAGCAACTCTAACTTAGGTCAGATGCTCAACTTGAGTCGGGGGCTTTGCAAGGAGAAAATAGCAGCGTTCTCGGTGGGGGGTTGCCAGGGGTGCTGGGAGCTGGTGTGATGATTCTGCTTTTCCCACAACCATTTATTCAAAAGTCAAATGTTGAAAGCAGTCCCGTTGGTCTCTGCCGCTCACCGCAGGGTGAAGCCGAGGAAGCACCGGTGTGACGGACGGGCGTGGGGCCCCAGGTCTCCAGGCCCACGCCCTCCCCTACCCCGGCCTCGGCCTGGGCAGCTCTGGACAGGGGCCTGCGGCTATGGCCACAGTTGTCTGTCCCAGGGGGACAGGTGTGGGAAGGCAGAAAAGAATGAGGAGAGGAAATTGTGGTGACCCCAAAAAGAGGCACTCTTAAACAAAATAAATGATTGCTGGAGAATGACAGTCAAGTTCTGAGGTGAACTGACCTCAAGGAAGAAGGGGCTCTGGGAAGGCAGGACCTCTGGAGTCTTGGACGCCGGCTCGGCCTCCTGTCCTCCTCTGTATAGTGGGTTCCCCAGCAGCTCACAGCACAGCCAGTCCGGGAACTGGTCAGCACTCATGATTATAGTCAGTGGCTGGACTACAGCTACTAACCCTGGGCGCACGGTGCAGAGAGGTCCACCCCGCCGGTGGGTGGGTGCGCTCTCTGGACCCAAGCTTGTGTGCGGCTCTGGCCCGCCGTAGGGGGTCGGGGGCCCAAGGACGACTCAGGGTGGCCACCTTACAGGCAGTGGAGCCCGCTGCTCTCTGCACGCCGCCATCCAGCCCGGTACCACACCTGCACGGCCCTCCTGTCCGGGCCCCTCTGGGGGTGGGGGCCCAGCGGAGGAGAGGACCTCGTGGAGAGGCCCAGGCCCTCTGGAGGGGGAAAGTCAGCCTCACGGCATGGGGTGGGCTGTGGTCCGGGGCTGAGAATGGACAGGATCACCGAGGCCTCCAGCCGCCCAGACGGTGGCTTCACAATTACAGTCAAGTTCCGAGGCCCCACGAGTCCCTCTGTGTCCCCGAGGGCAGGACCGCTTCCTGCTGTGCGTTGTCCTGAGGCGTCATCCAGGCCCCTCCAAGTCTCTCAGGCCCCACTCACAGCCTCAGCCACAGGGGTCTCCATCCTTCTCTCTGGCTCTCAGGGCCCCCCCAAACCTTACCTTGTGGGTGGGGGCGAGTGTCACTCCTGGCTGCTGGTGACGCCCTCATGCTTTACTGTATCGTCGCACTCATAAAACCCTGGAGTGGGCAGATGTCTCCATCTCCAAAAGGACACCAGGGCTCAGAAAGACGAGTGGCCTGCTCCGGCTCATTCCCCTGGTGCGCCCAACCGGAGCACCTGGGGCTTGTGCCTGCATCGACGCTGATCCTTTAACAGTCTCTAGGGAGCGCCGAGCCTTGCCAACGGCTTTGCTGAGAGACTCAGCAAAGGCCTGGAGGGCCGCTCTGGAGTGTTTGCATACCAGGGCCTCGGTCAAGCTCAGGGGGCTTCCTTCCTACACCCAGATTCTGGCACCTTCCATCCTAGGAATGACACGTGGGACTTTCTGTCTCTCTCCACATTCTGTGCACTTGAATCTCCATCCCAAAGCCGACCTCACTGTACTCTTCCAGGAGACGTGTCTGGTCCCGCTGCAGTCAGGGTCCTAGGACCCTGCCAATTACTGGCAAGATACCCACATGGGTGTGCTGAGCAGTGCCCCCAGCCCCTTCTAACTCATGAAAAACAAATAAGCAAACAAAGTTTTTGGTTTTTCTGTTTGACGGAATAATCTCCAGTTACCTGTCAGTAGCGACAGCTTGTCCAAAACTGGGCAGGTCCCTCCTCTGAGTTCACCTCCACGTGTTACCCGCTGAGCAGCGGAGCCTCTGCACATTGTCATACACTCAGCTTGTCACATACTTGTGTCCCCTTCTCTCACACACCTTCCTAAATTCGTACAAACACAACCACACACACAGACACACTTGTTCTTCCTCTAGCCATGGTCCAACACGGCGTTACCTGTTGCTTCTGTGGTTCTGGCCTCCTAGATTTTTGTACAAAGTATGTAAATATTTGTCGAGTGGATGAAACAGGTGATGTGACCCTTAGTGTTGCTAATGCTAATGTCACACAATTCTCTCCTGCGAGGACCGCTGGGAGGTCTTTGTGATGGTGTGATTTTGTTAAATATTCATTTTTGCACCTCTAGGACTCTGAGTTTTCATATTCAACAGATGGAATGTCATCAGTGCATGTGTAACTTGCGGCTCCTTGAGGCATGTAGGTAGGGCAGAGGTGCATCGTCTCCAGGACCTGTCCCTTCTCATCGGGCCAGCACGGCTGTGTGACCCTGGGAGAAGGGAGTCCAGGATCCCCTGCTCTCTGCAGAAGAGCAGAAAGCACAGCTCCGTTTCAGTTTTTTGGTCCTGTGCAGCTGCCAAGCGTCAGTGGGAAGGCCCACTGAGTCCCCAGAGTGCCTGCAGGCTGTCAGAGCTGGACCCTGGACCCTTCGCCCCCCGTGTCACCTCCCGGCCTCACCCTCCGCCCCAGTTGCTGTGTTCAGCTGCCGTTACCTCTTGTCAGTCCCTGTGGCCACAGCCCTGTTCTCAGAACAGGGCGATTTGAGAGCAGAGCAGTCCTGCAAGGTGTCATGGGGTGCAGGACTCCCATGGGGTGCAAGACGTCCTCGTCTTGGCCAATGTTTTAGGTCCTGGCATGGCTACAGACCAGGCTATCATTTGCTTCTAGTTCCCACCCATGAGCTGCTGTCGTGAGCATGTCCCACCATGCCCTGAGTGGGAACCCTTGGCCTGAACGACTTACCTGGTCTCCCCGCCCCAGCCAGATCCATCCTCACTGCCGGGACCTGGCTCTGATCAAACAGACCTTTGTCGCTGTCACTCCCCTGCAGCCACCCTGCAAGGAACTATGTACTGTCCCCATGCCTGGAGCCGCTGCCCTGTGTGGCCCAGCTCACCTCCTAGCTGAGCTCCCCTGACGCCTCGTCCAGCCCTAGGTACTCTGTTTCCCATGCACTGCTTCTGGGTAGGCCAGCACCCCATCTCTGGTTGTTCCTTTGCCTTGTGCGGCCCCAACGCTGGAATGAATAAGCCCTTCCCTGTGTAACTGCTGAATAAGTGCTTCCATAGCCAGCACCTGCCTCACTGAACCCACAGCAGGCTTGCCTGTCTGCATTGATTGTTGTGAAGCCAGGGCCCTCCCAGGTCTTCCTGGCCTCCACCACGGTCACCAGCACAGCTTCCCACAAAAGCAGGCACTCATTGCTTCCTGGATGAACTGACTGAAGTCCCAGGCCAGTGGCACGCTCCCAGAGGAGCGCTTCCGGTCTGCCACTCCTGAGGGAGTGTGTTCACCACGAAATCTCAGTCCACACCTTCACCGAGCATTGGTGGTCAAGCCCCCGGGTGAGGCCTCTGAGGGCTCCAGTGGGGTAGGGAAGGTGCCACCTGTGCCCTGTCCACTGGGCTGAGCTGCACGGGAACTCTGGACGGCCCTCTGGCTCTTGGAGACTCTGCCATCTAACGGAGGAATGTAATCAGGCCATCGATCATTGATGGCTCACTCATGCCAGGCAAAACACCGTGAGCAGTGTCGCGGAGCCCTGCTGTCCCTGGGCCATCACAGCTCTACAGCTCTTGTGTGATCGTTTTCTGTTTGCCAGGCCGATCTTATCCCACACTGGGAAAACAGGCTCCGAGAGGTGAAGTTCCTTGCTCAAGTCCCACGTTTGGCAAGTGGGTGAGCTGGGGTGGGACTCAGGCCCAGGCCTGCGATTCCAGGGTCCCTGCTCTGCAAGCACTGCTCACTGGGGTCCCGCTGCAGTTGTTCGGACCTGCCTGCACGTGACATCCATGAACTGCGGATTCCAGAGAAGCATCGCTGCTGAGACACCTTCCATCAGTGACTGGGGGTTTTCTCCTGCTGTTAGGACCCTCAGCAGCCAACAGGCCTTCAAGTGAGAAGATGAAACAAAATGCAGACTTGCTGTAGTTTTAAGCAAGGCTGATATGTCTCCGTGGCCACTTCTCCTTGGCAGGAACCTTCCGGTACATGGTGGTATCTCAGCAAATCAGCAGTGCTGCCGCCTCCTCTTTGGACCCTGGTCTCAAAGAGTTGGAAGACAAAATGGAAAAGGAGATGCCTGGAACATTCAGTGGCTCTTGACACTCGCCTCCCTCCTTAGACACCTGTGCTGTCCTTGTACAGCAGACACTCCTGTTCCTGGACGGTCACTGTGTGCGTCCGGGTGTCCTGGGCGTGTGAGGATGTATTCTGGGTGGACTCAGGCTTTGGCAGTTTAGAATACGTACAGCACTTGGTTCTAATAAAGAAAGTATGAGGTAGTGGAAAATACATAATAAATGATTGCGGATGAAACAATTTTTAATGGAGAGGAAGAAGGCAAACATTTAAAAAAACAAACACAAAGACCCACCTTGTAGTCAGGCCAGGGGTTTGAGCTACCTCTGCTTCCAGTGTAGGACTTTGGGCCTGTTCTTAACCGCCCTGAAACCTCTTTTTCCTCATCTATAAAATCGGAGTGACAAAACCTCCCAAGATTCTTGCGTTTTCATGGGCCGACTCAGCTGCAGCGATTAACACAGAGCTGGCACTTTGAAGGCATTTGGTCGCGACAGCCATTACAGAACACGTATGTGCTTTTGTCCCATGTATTGACTTTGACAGACTTTCTCTGCTTGCCCATTTTTTTGGTGCTCATGTGAGGACATCTTTTTGACATTAGATTGAGAAACATAGCTGTGATCCATGACCCACTTGATATCTGGGCGAAGACTGGGCTTGTTTTTGATGGATACTTGGTCAGACTCTGGGATCCTCATGTCTTTTTATAGTAGACACTTCGGTACTCCCAGAGCACAGTCATTTTGCACATTGCACGGGCGCGTCCTGGCGGTGTTGTGTGTTCGCTCCCGGGCGGCTGGCAGCCGGGTGTGTCCTGGAGCTGTCCCCTCTTCACAGGCTCTTGAACAGGGAGGTTCAGAGCCCTCGGTGTCCGGAGCAGATGCCACGGTGGCTTTAATCTTTGTGTGTTGTTTCTCCTGGAGAACAAACCCTCTCTCATCATGTCCATTACGAGGCTTATCAGCATTTCATCCGTTTACAGCATTCCCGTGCCCTCCAGAGGTCCAGTTTAGACAAATTAATTACAGGAAGTATGGTAACGATCTTCCTGCTAATGTTCTGATATTGTTTATGCCTGTGACTGTAAGAAACGTATCTATCACCCAGGCAGACAGCAGGTAGCGACGGTCAGTGTTTAGTGTGCTGGGCTGTGCGTACATCCTTCCTTTCTCACTGCCACAAAAGCCCTGCAAGATGCACACCCCGTTTTATGGCCGAGGGACGCTTGGCCCAGACTCATCCAGGAACCTGTCCAAGGCCTCTGCTCGATGCCACGAGCCTGTCCAGCTCCAGAGCTACACTTTCTCCCTCCTCAGGCTGCACTCAGCCATAGACAGGATGTTCCAGTCACCTGCAACTGTAAACAGACCATTGTTGCAAGGATGGCGTACAACCAAGCCCCTAAGCCACAGCACTGTCTCCCCAGACGGGTCAGCTGGCGCTGCCGGAGCCGGGGCGCAGGCCTGATGGGGGCTCCGTGTGGCCCTTCTGTCCTCCTCTTCTGCCCCCACCGTGTTCTGGAGAGCCTTGCATCTTGGTTTTGATGAGTCTTTCTCTGAAAGCTCTGCCTTCTCAGGCCTCAAGCAGAAACCCAAGCCTGGGTGCACCCACACTGGGTCCCCCGGGAGCTCCCTTCGTGGCCGTTGCATTGGCGAAACGTGGGTGGTGTGCACGGGATCTAAGTGCAGAGTGTCCGCATTCACCCCAGCCTGGGCAGGACGGAGGGATGCAGGCTGGAATCAGGGCCCTGGGCCTGCAAGCGCTGGCACTGCGGCCGACATGTGAAATCACAGTCCTGCGTTTTGTGCTCTTGAGAGAAGCTGTGGAAGGGGCTCTTTTGAGGATTACCTTGATTTGTATTTTTTAAAGAAATTGCTGTCTAGTGTCTTTAATGGGTGAAATACTCTGGCTTGCTAGAATGATGAGAATTACCCACTTAGAGATAATTACTATTTATATATTGAGCTTATGCTATTTTCCATGTGGTCATCCACCATCTTGCATAAAATTCTTATAACTCCACTGTGAGGCAGCTTGAGCACCCCAAACTGCTGGCTGGGAAAGTGAGGCTGGTAGAGAGAATAACAGGCTTGTTCTAGGCCTGTTCCTACAACTGGCAGGAATGGCGGCTGGATTTCAGTTTAGGCCTGACCCTATTAGTAATAAGCATGTATTCTTACAATGAAATGGGGTGTACATTTCGGGGGGAGGGAGCTTAGGAAACACAGCCCACGGGCTTGAAGGGGTGCTGTCTGTCTTCCAGTGTTACTGTCAGAGTGTGACAGTGCTGACATTGTGAACCACAGAGGCTGCTGTACGGGGCTGTGACCGAGAGCTGATTTGGGGACTGTTGAGGTGTTTTGCATTGGTTTCCTGGTTCCGCGTGGTTTCTCTGTGACTCTTCCGTAAGCTCTTCAGGGTCTCTATCTCTAGTCACTTTTGGCAGTGATTGTACCTGGGAAAGGCCATACCTGTCTTCTAACTGTGTGTAAGGTGCGTCTCAGGGGAGTAGTGGATCTCGGAGGCTAGCAGACTTGTAAAGCAAAAGCAAGCTGGTGAAAAGGCCGGGCCATCTTTGCTACGAATGCTGCTTTGTGTCTCCCACTGGGTTTTTCTGACTTCCTCTGGGTTTTCAGCAGTGCTCCCCAGTGGGTGAGGCTGTCGTAAGTGATGTCTGCGTAAGTGAGGTGTCAGCAAGTGGGGAGGACAGGACCACTTTAGAGTTGAGCGTGGCTGGGTTGGCATCCAGGCCCTCACCACTGGGGTAAGCTGGCAGGGTCTGTGATGACTCAGTTTCCACATGTAAAAGGTGGCACAGCCATGCCTTTTCTGAGAGACTGTTCTAAGGAGTGCATGAGGTACCGGGACATAAAGGGTTGGCTACAGAGCCTGACACCTAGTAGCTGTTTGAGAAGCAGGACATAAAGGATTAGGTATAGAGCCTGATACCTAGTAGGTGTTTGAGAAGCAGGACTTCACACCTCCCTCTCTGCTTTTGCTCTGACGTTTGGACTCACAGGCTTTGTGTTTGCTGAGGTCGGTGCAGGGGTCCAGCCTGCAAACTTAGTTCTGTGAACCGGCACACAGCCCCTGGCACAGGAGGGGTGCCCCTTACACCTTCAGAGGCTCACTGACTTGTCCTGATTTCCATAACTATTTTTGAGTGAATAAAACCTCTAATTTGATGGTTGCTATGGGCGGCCCAGGGAAAGTGCAAAGCTAATGCAACCATGTGCTTGGCTCATCATTTTTATGCATCGCTGCTCCTTTAGGCCTAAGGAACTAAAGATGTTTACAGATACTTCTCTGCCTTTTTTTTTTCAGTGCCTGAAACAGTATGTGGAGCTCTTGATCAAAGAAGGATTAGAAACTGCAATTAGCTGCCCGGATGCTGCCTGCCCCAAGCAGGGCCACCTGCAGGAGAATGAGGCACGTGCACCTGAGCAGATGTGGTTTTTCCCATGTCCAGTACGCCCTGCTTAGCTCGTCAGGGTGGTGTGGGTTCCGTTCCCACGGGTGCTGCATGCATTCTAGCCCTCAGCTGCTGATACTCTTTGTCTGCACTTTTTCCCCTAGATTGAGTGCATGGTCGCGGCTGAAATTATGCAAAGATATAAAAAGCTGCAATTTGAAAGAGGTAGGTGCCCCAGTCTATTAGCTGGTCTCTGACAGAACCTGTATAACTCCAGGGAAGCACTTTTGGTAGATAAGACTGTACATCACTTGGCTAAAACAGAAGTGAAAGTCAATATAAATTCACTGTCATTTTGAATTCTCTGAAGAGCTCGCCGATGGAGGGCTTTGTGGGGGATCTTTTTGATGGCAGGAAGGATTCATAAAACATAACTTTTTTGAAGGGATTTGGGTTTATGGGGTGGTTTAAAGAGATGTGGCCCAGGTGGGACATTATTCTGCAGCCAGGTTAAGGCCAAACAGTTTGAGGGCTAAATTCTTAGATCTGCACAGAATTTAAAAGATACAAAGGCATGTTCTGAGGCCAAGGATAGGAGAGCTGTGATGATGGCCACCCGGACAGCAGAGTGACAGCCTCTAGTGACAGACAGAGTTCTTAGGCACTCACTGTCCACCCAGCGCAGGCCTAGATGAGGAGGTGCTGAGTTCCTTATCTCAGAACGTAGCATGACAGCCCCATGGGGTTGGCATTGTTGGTAACCTCACACCTGCAGAGGCTGACCCACTTGTCCTGATTTCCGTCTCTGTGGTTGGAGGGCAGGATTTGATGCAGACCCCTGCCATGCCCTGGACAGCCTTGCCGGCTGGAGCCAAGCCTGCCTCAGACTTGGGGCTCTCTGAAGGTGCAGGGTGGGGTGTGTGCATCCCAGTGTGACATCATTCTCAAGGTGGCATCACGATGCGTTAAAGCTGTTGAGCGTCTAGGTCTGGTGTTCACCTTTGCTCCTGGAAATATGCCAGGATCATAAAATGAGGTTCCGAGGCTGTGGATTCTGTCTGGCCTAGGGCTCATCTGAAAAGGAGCAGAGAGTAACAGGTACACTGAGACGACGCTCCTGATGCCAAAAATTTATTGTGAAGAACACCACATCTGAGTTCTGGTATTATCAGCTCAGTGTGTAGTCACTGGCCTGCTCTCCCCTCTTTCTGGCCTGGGGCTTGTGGGCCCCGGACACGCGTCACTGAGACGCAAGCCTGGGCTACGTGTTCACAGGAAACAATCATCAAGGTGGGAACGGAATGCAGAATAGACCAGAGGAAAATACCGAGAAATGCCTAGTTCCTGCTGAATGTGGAAAGTTTTCTTTCTGTCTTTCTTTTTTGCTTTTTTTTTAAAGAAATGCTAAAGATAACTGTATTTCCTCTTGAGGCTTACTTAAAAAAAAAAAAAGCCAGTATGTGGCCAACCAGAGAAAAAAACAGGATTTTTGATGGCACTGGAATTTGTTAAATGAATGTCATGTGATACCGAAGTCAGCATGTGAAGCTATAAAAGTGATTAATTTGGATTTCTGAGACTTTCAGCCCTTTTCTAAAAACGTTTTTCAGAGAAAATCTTGACAGAAACTGGCAGTTATTTGGGTTACAAGAAAATGAACTTTCTGTGACATTGAATTTAAAATGCCGTGGGGTGAATTTTTCTACCTAATAATTTTAACTGATGTTGTTTCTTTGGTGCTTTGTCTTTAGTCAAAGAAGGTATTTTTTCTTTTGCATAAATATGAAGCCAGCTTGACTTGGGTTTGAGAGATTTTCTTTTCTTTTTAACCTATTGCTTTAAAATATGTTGATACCATTATGTTAAAAGCTACAAAAAATAAGACACAAAATGGACTCAGGCTTAATAGAACCAAAGACCAGTCTGAATGAAATGTTAAAATGTTAGAGCTGAAATAGAGTTATTGATTATGGCCAGTACCTGAGCGGTTTTGAGATAGGATCAGAAAGCAAGTTCGGCTTATTCTCTCCCTTTGAAATGTAGTCAGGGAGGGGGCCTTGGAAGAAAATTTAAGACAGTTCCACAGTTTCCTGACAACATTCAGTTACTAAAAAGTCTCATGGTTAGTTTAAGTTGTGAATCCTGGCTCCATTTTGTCTTAGAATGTCTCATCTGGTTTAACGGCCTTGATTTTAATCTAAACTTACCCTCTCCACCAGCCGGGGTCCTGGGTAAGCAGGGGAGGCCCCACACACTGCACCCAGGTTCCTGTGTGAGCAGTGACCCCGTGCCCAGGTATTTGCTCACAAATCCCTCTGCGGAGGTCCCACTGCCCAGGGACAGGGCCTGTGGCTTCCTTCTTTCTTATTCTGCTGATATCGGTGTCCAGGTCAAGGGAATGCTGAAGCCAGGGCTTGTCCTATGTGGTATTGTTTTTTTTAAAGGAAAGTAAAGCTCAGAGAGATTAAATAACTCTCTGGGCTTGTCCATCAATAATTAGCCCTGCCCAGAGCCGAGGACTCCTGAGAGTCAGGCAGTCCTGACGGGACAGGACCCGTGGCTCTGGGGCCACGGCCAGCGTGCCAGCTGGTGGGCAGTGTGGCGAGAGCCAGCACCAGGGCCAAGGGGCACTGGGCCCTTCACAGCATGCTTCTCAAAAGAAAACCATGCTGAGAACAAAAGCACCTTTTAAAAAAAGTCTTGGGCTTTTTTTATATGTAGAGCTGCTAGGGACCTGCCTCTCTTACTGATATTACCTTGGGAGAAGGGAGTTAAGTTTCTTCAAGTGTGCCAGGAAATAGGCTGCTTGTCTTGTCTGAAAATACATCTGTGTAAAATCTTAGGTATATTAGCATCTACAAGATGGGATGTACCTAACGTATGTCCTGAGGTAGATAGTATGTGACAGATACAATGCCTATATACATCCTGAAAAGAGCAACCCCCTGATGCTGCCCAGCGTGGATTTTCTCCTTGACCAGTTCCTGTCTCGTTCGCCAGCTGGCAGAGTTCAGCAATGGGGGTGATAATGGAGAAAGAATACTATAGAGATCAAAGCGAAAAGCCCAGAGTTTGATGTTCCCTGGCAGCTCGGGAAGAGCTTTGCGGTCGGCCACGGATGGGTGATTTCCTCTTCGCTGCTCCAATCAGGACTCTGCCCAGGGGAAGGCAGCGCTGTGGCACAGCTCCTCGAGGCCCAAAGCCATAGAATTTGTGTTACCATGGAAACCGTACTAGGTCTCTGCCCTGTGCTCCACAGTGTAACTGGGCCTTTCTCAATGAAAGCCTGCTAGCTGCATTTGCTGGGCAAGGAAAATGAATGAACAGGAGACCGCGTGGGGCCCTGAGATGCATGCAGAGACTCACCAGCCCGGGAGAGCCAGCCCCTTGCTGATGTCATCCCTCCCTGGAGCAAGGGTGCAAGGAGAGCAGCGGGAACCAGACGGTCTGAGTCATGTGGCGCTGTCTTTCCAGCTGCCAGACAGACCAGCACTGACCACAGTGTCCAGCTGGAAAGAAAAGAGCAGGCCGGAGACCTCTCCGCGAGTCTGCCCTCTGCCCTTCAGCATGCTGAGCGCCCGTTCTGCCGTGCGCTTTCCGGTGCTGTGTGCACTGGGACCCCCAGTGTCTTTGGGGCACAGTCTCCCCACAACACCCACTGGCACAGAGGCAGAGAGCTGGCAGAGAAATTCACAAGGAGTGAATAGGCTTCAAGGCGAAGGCAGGCTCCATCCCGAGGAGGTCCCTGTGGGGGCTACTAGGGACCTACGCTGTTACAGGAGGGGACCCTCCTGTCCCCTCAGCTGAGCTAGTGACAGGCAGCTGCCCCGCATGCACGTCCCCACTCTGCCCTCCCAAAGCCACCTCCTCTGCTCCAACAGCCAGAAACATTCTTAGAAAAGCAAACACTGAAACTCTCAACTAATGATGAGCAAATTTTACTCACAATTAGGAGCGTCATAAAGATTTTACATTCTTATAATGAAGATCAGTTGAAAAATAGCACATTTCCCTGAATTCTAGTTCCTTCCCATTATCAAGTTCTAAACCTTCTGCCAGACCTATCAATTTGATAGTTTTGAGCCATTGATTCCCCCTTAAAAAAAAGAGGCAGAGGGGTATAGATTAGAGCAGAAGTTGGCCAGTCATGGCCAGTGGGTGAACATGGCCCAGCCCGTGGTTTGGCTGGAGCACTGTCCACGCATCAGCACACTTCTGTGCCACAGCAGCCGAGCTGGGCAGCTGGATGGGGGCCGCCTGGCCCTCAGAGACCGACGTATGCTCTGTCAGCCCCTGGAGTAAATGATGAGGCTGTTTTCAAGCTGTACCTGACACAGGCTTGTTCTTGGAGGGCTGACTCTGCTTTCCAGGGGACTAGGGTCGAGGCAAACCTCTGTGTGTCCTGCAGCAGCTGGTCTAGATGAAGTCCGGGCTCCTGACCAGCCAAAGCCGTCGGGAGGCCCTGCGCACAGTCCAGTTCCTGAAGCAGAGAAACCAAACCCACCTGCAAGCTTGCAAGTGCCATTTATTGCCCTCCAAGTTCCCCACAGTAACTCCTGGGTTTGCTGCCCCAGAGCAACCCTGCCAAAGAGCCTCGGCCCCTGTGGCCCGCTGGAGGGCCTTTGGAAGCAGCCTTGTGGTCCTTTGGCCTCCGATGGCTTTGGGGTAGTGTCAGCAGCTGTGGGGCTTCGGGCCGAGTCTTCCTCCAGAGCCCCTCACTGAGATTCAGTGTCACACTGGGCACGGGCTGAGTGAAGCCAGGGAGCTGCTCACAGGGAAGGCAGCTGGGCCCAGTTATTTAGGGAAATGCGGGCTTCAAACACAGATGGAGTGGAACGGAATGGGGGCGTCGAGGTGTCTTGTTTTCCAAAATAAACTTCCTGACTTCATTTAATCGGCATCTTGGTGACTTGGGCTCTGCTTTGGATAGAAACCTGGCCACTTCCTGCAGTGGTAGTTCATGGCTTAGAGTAAATGTGGGAGGAGAACAGACGTAGGCAGATGAGCCATTTGATAAGAACTGGCCATCTTCCTGTGCTCCTTTTTTCCCATCCTTACTATTGTCCAAACACCTGCCGTGTGCCTCCCAACGGGCCAGGTTGTGAGGCCGCAAGACGGAAGATGCAGGCCTGGCCTCTGAACTTTGTCCTGGGGAGGCACACAGGAAGCAGACAGAGGGCAGCGCCTGGGCCACGGTGGGCAGGCGCTTCTGGAAGGGCGGTCAAGCAAGGTGTCCAGGACATGCGAGGCCGGAGGGCCAACGGGGTATTGCGGGCAGCCACGGGCATTCTGGGTGCAGACAGCCGTGCCCTGAAGGACTCTGAGGGTGTTTGCAGTGGGGTCAGAAATGGGGACTGGCTGGAAGGGAGGAGAGTGAGCCAGGCAGGCACCAGGTCAGGAGGCGACAGCATGCTTGCATGGTCTGCACGGTCCCCTTGCTGTTAAAAAAGTGAAGCCGGGCAGTCGCACACACCCTCTGTCTGCAGCCCTGCAGGGCCCTCGGCCTCCGGAGTTTGACTTGCCTGCTTTGTCTCCCTGTCCTAGAGGTGCTCCTGGACCCTTGTCGGACGTGGTGCCCGGCATCCACCTGCCAGGCCGTGTGCCAGCTTCAGGAGATGGGGCTGCAGACCCCTCAGCTGGTGCAGTGCAAAGCATGTGACCTGGAATTCTGCTCGGCCTGCAGAGCCAGCTGGCATCCCGGCCAAGGCTGCACAGAGACCATGCCAATCACCTTCCTGCCTGGGGAGACCAGGTACCCTGCACTCACTGGCCACCGCGGAAGGCATGGGCTGAGGGCTGGAGGAGGCTTCCTCCCTAAACACCCCACCGGGGAGGACATGGTTGCATCGAGACCGGTCTCTTCCCCTTGAGTCATTCAAACCTGGGTTCGTTTATTTTCAGCTTTTGAGAACTGAGCATATGCCAGGCACTGTGCAAGGCCATGGAAATGCAAAGCCTGGGAAACAAACTACAGCCTACCTATCTAGGAGGACAAACTTAGGGCAGGAAGGGTTTTAAGTCCCGTGACACCTCAAGTTTTTCTGAGACACCATTATTTTGAAGGTGACAGAGGCAGGGGTGCAGGAGCAGGAAGTAGAGTAGGTGAGCAGTGGTTATAAATTCCAGAAGGATCACCAAAAACAGGTTTTCCAGTGTCTGAGGCCAAGGGGGCCACATCTTGCTAAAGGAGTGAGCCTGTCAGGATGGACACAGTAAATCGCAGTGTGTCTCTGCCCGCGACCCCCGGCTGGACTGTCAGGCCAGATCCCAGGTGGCACTGCAGCTGAGTACCTTGAAATTAAGCAGATTGAGCCATGAGCAATTGATAACATTCAGCTCTTTTTGTCCTAAAAATCTGTAAGGGGACGTGGTTCACCTAGACCGAGGGGCCCTGCACTTCCTGAGGCCATGCTCCTGACAGATGCTCCTGACGCTGCTCGCCCAGAGGCATTCCCACCAGCTCCCCATCTTCCTCTGCCACTCTGCTGCTCCCACTCCCCCTCCTTACAGCCCATCTGCACAGACACCTGGCTGGCGTCCCTGGGGCGATACTTCTGTCTCCCGTCCGCATGTCTGTGCCTATGCCTGGAACGCCACTAGCCACCCTCCTCCTTTCCCTGCAGACCCCTTGACAGCTTTGAAGATGTGGCTCACATCCCTCTTTTGTCACCCTCTCTAGTTCCCAGGGCCAGGCCGGTGACCCCACCCTCTGTGGCCCCCATGGAGGTCGTTGGCGTTGATTACAGCACCAGCTGTGTTGTGCTTTAGTTTCTGTGTTTACGTGGCTGATGCCCCATCAGGCTGAGCTCCTGACATCACAGCCTGGGCTCTTTTGAACTTTGTCACCCCAGATCTTGGCAGAGAGCAGGCACTCGAAACCAGAATGAATCACGTGTAATTTGGGTCTTACTGCTCTGGAATTTTGCAACAAGAAATGCATTTCTTGTGTGGTCAGATTGTACATAATTAGGGGAGCTGGATTTCCAGGGTGGGGAATAAGTAAGTAGAAGGCAGGTTGGGGTATTTGCAGTGACAGTTGAGTTTTCTGTTTAAAAAAGAAACCTCCTATCAAGTAAGCAAGTGGGTTCCTACATTCTATGACTCAAGAAAACCAGGAGTGAGAAAGAACCTGTGTCCTGCTCCTGGATGGGAAAGCAACACAAGGGCAATTTAAATCAACATTTGTAAGACTCATTTAGTGAAAATTTAAAAATCAAGAGATTTCACATAAAAATCTGAATACTGGCTTTTCCAGTGACACTGTTTATATTCCTACTTGCTGACAATTGACTAGAATGGAGCAGAGCCTCCCTCTTTAGGAAGGTATTTGTGCTAGCTGTAGTTTGCCACAGTCCTCACCACTCCCTCTTGTCCTTCTGGCCCTGGGACTGATTGTCAGGGATCATTTATAACAGAATATGCTCAGCTATCTTCATACAGTAGAGTCTTTTTTAAGTTAAGCCTTCCCTTAACCCATGTTCCCATCCACCATCTGACCAGCTTCAGTCATTAATGTTGCATGTCTGTCCCTTAAAGACATTAGAACATAGAGATTATGATGAAGCTGTTAATAACTCCTATCTCTTCATAAATTTGAGTTTATAGTTAAGAATTGTTATTCATCATAATTTGAAATATAATCCAGATACCAGAAAGTGTTTGAAAACCATTGTGTATACTATGTAAATTTATAAGCATGCCACAGCTTACACATCTTAACTTTGCTTTTTAAAAAGCCTTACCGAAACAGTCTTCACTCTCGCCTATTACGTACCTCTTCATAGCATTTCCTTCTAAATTAGCTTATGAGTCACATGAGAAAATTGGTTTCATTACTTTCAGGTCACACCTGGCTTTCAAACCAGAACAATGTTATCTACCCTGATAACCAACCTTAATCACTGGATTTGATGCCTCATGACTTGCAGCTTTTTGCAGAAATCAAATTCACTCTCAGAAGCAGGCCACAGCTAGTGTCTGCACAGATGCCTGTGTGCCGGGTCGCGTGGGGGGCACTCGCACCTGCCTTACCTCCTTTGCCTGTGTTCATTGGAAAGCCTGGTCTGTAGTTTGCCTTTACATTGGAGAAGAATTTTAGCTAGAGATGGTTTTATCTCTCAGTGAGAGTATTAGTAACAGCTACCACGTATTGAGTGCTCACAATTGTGTGCCCCATTCTGTGTGTCTGCACTAAACACACAAACACTCTTTCAGGTTTCACCACACCCCTCTAAGGTGGATGCAGTTAGCCTCATTTCTGGACGAGGACACGAAGACTGATGATACGTAAATGGCACAGCTGGGACTTGTCTGTCTCCAGACTCCGTGCCCCTAACTACAAGGCCATGCTGCTTCCGTCCAGCATAACATAACAGGTCCCTTTCTTCTCGTAAACAAAACGTAGCCACATTCAGCTGGAGCACATGCTTCATAGCGGAGGAGCCTTGAGTTTCAAAAAACCCTATGGGTTTGATCATATGGAAAACTCAGTAATCACCAGATAACGCATACAAAATGAAACTTTTTAATGCTTTTATTTACTCTGATGCTTGTGGAAGATCCTATAGACAGGTGCACTCAAAGTGCAAAAATTTGCTCAACCTCCATGAGCGTGTGCTTATAAATGCATTAAGTTCTAAAAGGGCTGCTCACTCCAGTGGGAAATCTTTTTTGTCATGGTGATGCCGGAATGAGGCAGTGAGTTCAAACAATAGAGCAAACGTGACCCGATGATCAGTGGCAACTTCTCTTAGCTGTTTGTTGTTTATTCTTCCTGGTGGGCTCATGCTTATTTTTTAGCTGTCTTTTTAATGTTAATAACAGGAACAGACATCCTTCCATAGTCATACATAAATATCAATGTTATTTTTCATTAGCAGATAGAAGGACAGCTACCACTTATCGGGCATACACGCTTGATACCGCACTGTGCTCTTACCGTACCAAACTCTCCAATTATGCTCACACTGATGAGAAGGCTGTGATGCAGCGAGTTTACCGAGGAGCCCTTGACCCCAGGCTTAAAGCCTTCATGCTGACCACTGCCTTTTAAGCAGACTTCTCAGGAAAATGATTTTGTAAAGACAAGCCAGGTAGATCTAGCTAAGTGATTATTTTTTTCTGGTAATAGCAAAGTGCATAAAATGATCATCAACCCTTTGAAAAGTATGCAAATATGAATAAGGACATAAAATTCTCCATAATCCTGTTACACGGACACCTCCATTATAAGCTGTTACCACATGGTCTTGTCTACAGATACCCAGGTTTAGATACGCACAGACATTGCTCTTCTCATTTCCCCTAAATCAAACTAGTTGGTTCACTGAGGTTTTGGTGATTTTTCTCCCAAGTTTTAGTTTTATTGGTTTTGTTTTCTTTCATCTAATAGCAAGTGCCCTTGGCCCGGTGCTGTGGGGCTAATGCTTCCAGCGCAGCCATGCTGGCCGCTCTCCCCCGGGTCCCTCCGAGCAGAGCCTTACAGAATTTCTCCCGCAGTTCGGCCTTCAAACTGGAAGAGGACGATGCGCCCATCAAGCGCTGCCCCAAGTGCAAGGTGTACATAGAACGGGACGAGGGCTGTGCACAGATGATGTGCAAGAACTGCAAGCACGCCTTCTGCTGGTACTGCCTCGAGTCCCTCGACGTGAGTACAGCCTCGAGCTCCATGCTGGTGCCTTTCCCTGAGGTTCCGTCTTGGAGCGGGGAAGCATGCCAGCCACTTCCTAGAGGAAGACTTTAGAGGACACTCCTGTAAAAGAGAAATAATGTTATCAGACATTTTTTGTGTGTGTGCTTCTAAAAATATTAATTCATGGAGTGCAATGGTTTCAGAAAACAGTAATTTGTGCAGGAGATCTGGGGAGCAAAATGTCAGCGCAGGCATGGGATTCAGCATGGGTGGAGACGGTCGTAGGATCTCAGGTTTCATCTGCGGCGAGTCTTAGCTCAGGCTGTTGTCACTGAGCACAGGTGGGCGGCTGCAACAACACACATTCATTTCTCACGGGTCTGGAGGCTGGAAGTCCAAGCTCAAGGGACTGGAAGATTTGATTCCTGCAATTTGCCACTCCGTATAACTTCTCCCAAAGGGGAAGGAAAGTGAAATGCCAGTTTTGCTCCATGTTATCAAACGTCCTTGAAGATTTGTTAAGGGAAGTATTCAGAACAAACACACAAAAAGTTTGATTTCCAGAGCGATCTTTGTTTCTTCTGCTACCCCCCAGTGCTACCTTGATTCACTTACAAGGCTTGGGAGGAAGCCCCACTGGCTTTCTCCTTCGAACACAAAGCTGTTTCCTGTGTGTTCTGGCCTCTGGAGAAATACTCGCTCTGACCCAGTTCTGTAGCCTGTCGCACCTGTGTAGACGGCCTTGGTGCATCTGGCTCTGCCTGGACGGCAGACCAGGGAGCCAGTCTGCACTGTCCCTCCTGGAAGGACACCTGTTTTTCTTTTGTAAATGAAGAGCTGCCAAAACTGACCGTGTGGCCACAGAAAGCAGATTCTGAAAGAAAGGGAGCCTGCTCTTGGAGCGATTCGTCAAGTGCAATAGCCGCGCTTTGAGACAGGCTGGAAGCCAGCAGCGACTGAGAATGGGATCTCCCCTGCGGTCTCCCTCCTCAGGAATCTGTCCCCTCCAGGCACCGTCTGCTGCACGTGCGCCTCAGGAAGGTGTGAGTGGCTGTGGGCCGCTTCCTTCGCTCCTGCTCCCTGTTCCCCTCTCCTCTGCACCCGGGCCCAGCCCTGGACTCTTCCCTGGAATCTAACCTGGTGTGGCTCACACTCTGTCTCCGCTTCTCCACCATAAATGTCCTCCCAACATGCGCTACTTACAGTGGGAAGAGACACACATACTTTCTTCACTTTTTTTTTTTAGGGGGCTATAATTTAGCATTTATTGAAGTACTTGGTATAGACCAGCACTGCAATTTCTTCTACATCCCTGCTTTATTTAATGCACATATTCTTCCTCTGAAAGTTGAAGTTAGCTACTCTTTTCAAGGGGAAGTCCAAGAATTGAGAGTCTTTCCAAAAAGCACCAAAGGAAGGAGGAGGGACCGGTGCCCACCCTCTGATCTTTCTGTGTCCGAAACCCGACAGCTGTGGGTTACACAGGCTGCTGCAACCAGCTTGAGCCAAAGCTCAAACCTCAGGGTGGCTGAATGGCCCCAGGGAATTTATTTTTATCTTGAACAGTTCACTGACTGCAGTTTCTGTAGCAGGACCCATTGTTTCTGCTTCCACGGTGAGGCTCAATGAAACTTCTCTGAACAGTAGTCAGGGAAATGGTCCCCCTTACAAAACGCCCCTAGGCTCCTGGCCGGTCGGGGCTGGTTATGCTCAAGGGCTTCATCCCTATGCTTGAAATCACTGAAGTCATTTATATATTGTAAAAGCAGCTGTAGAGGGGTCTCCGCGGGGAGAAGAAAGGTGCCATCTGAACGAGCTTCCTTTTTGTTGGGAAGCTCACCATGACCATGAGGACCTTGTGATCGCCCTGTTTTTTCAGTCTGTGTTTCAATAAAATCAAACACTACTCAGGATCCTCCAGTGGAAGACATCGCGAGAGGCAACCTGGGAAAAATGAGACATACAAATGAAAAATTCATCTCAGCAGTGTGCGTTAGTATCAGTGTAAAGGAAAGTTTAATTAAGAGTTTAAGGAACTGAGAACCCACGGTGGGTAAGTCATCGGAAGGAGCCTCACAGCAGAAGAGCCCTGGCTGAAGCGGCCTGGGCGGGTGTCCACCTGCGCCTCCTCTCGCAGCTGAGGCCCTGCGCGTGGCAGGGCAGGTGGGGCGGGCTGCGTTCTCGTCTTCTCCAGAAGGCAGCCAGCTACTACCCCGGGAAAGCCGGGGTTTCCTGGTGAGCCGCTGCATGCTCTGGCACCAGAGGCTGGCCTATCAAGCCTGCAGACCGGAGGCTGGCATGGTTCTCAGGAGGAGAGGAGAGCTCCCGGCTGCAGCCGCCCAGTCCGCTCTGGCGGTCAGCTTCTCCCTCCCGCCCTCCCCGGCTCTCGGAGGAAGGGCTGCCTGGCCTCTCGGACACACTGGGGCCTGTGCTTATCACTGCTTCTCAGAAAGAGGCTGTCGGTTTACACCCTCGGCTAAATGAATAAGCAGCCATTGGCCCCGCCTGTGTGCTACTTACCACACTTTCTGTGACCGAAACAGCCCCTCTGTTCTCCGAGGGGGCAAGAGGGTTTTGAGTGAAAACCCATTCCTGTGTGCTCGGTTGGTGCCTGTTCGGGGTGGGGGCCGAGCACGGGGCCAGGGACATAGTGAAGATATTGGTACCAGTTCAGGGTCCCACCGCCAAGACAGTCCATGATCACAGGCACCCGGAAGGAGGGAGTCCCTGGGTGACAGCCCTGCACAGCTGGGGGAAGGCAGGCGGAAGGTGGCCCCTGACTAGCAGCGAGTGGGGAGCACATTCCAGTGGTCTGAGCTGAGAGGGGGCCCTCTCCAGGCAGAGCCTGGCACTGACGGAGGAGGGTGGGCCAGAGATGAAGAGAATCCTCTAATCTGGGAATCACCCGGCGGGGGCCGCAGGAGGACGTCAGGGCAGGGCTGTGGTGGAAGAGGCGGGAGCAGCGCTGGGCGGCGGGAGCCTCTGACCTGCTTGTGCAGAAGCCTGCGTCACAGGAGATCAGCTCTTTCTTTCTAAGCAGGAGCCCGCCTCTGAGCCCTGGGAAGCCCTTCTCGAGGTGAGGCTGTCATCGAGAGCAGGGCTCCCCCTAGTGCCCACTCAGCCTTCCCTCCGGATGCCCAGGCAGGTGGAGGCCCTGGGCCGTGCGGTGGCGGCCGCGGCCACAGGGCCCACCTCTGCTCTCCCCAGCTGAGCCCCACAGCCCCGGGCAGGACCCTCGCCGGGCTGCGGAGGCTCCCAGTCACCCCGCTCTTCCCCTCCTTCCAGGACGATTTCCTCCTGATCCACTACGATAAAGGACCCTGCCGGAACAAGCTGGGCCACTCCAGGGCGTCTGTCATCTGGCATCGGACCCAGGTAGGATGCAGCTCACCAGGAGCTCTGGACTCTGGGAGAGACGCACGTGAGACGCTCACGTGTGCCTGCGGGGCTTCCAGAGGACTGGCCCGTTGACTCGAGCGCAGCCATGAAGGGAGACAGAGCAGGGCTGTGACCTGGCCTCCGGCTGCCGTGGAGCCCCTGGCCCAGAGCCACAGTGAATGTGCGTCACGTTTAGCGTGTGATTCTTCAGCAACAGACTTGAGGTTGCTGCTTCTAACTCACGGTCTTGGCAGTGACCCACTGTGTTACTTAACCCTGCTTGGCCCTTAGGGAAGAGCTTTCTGTAGGGGCCCCGGGGTGGGCAAGTCGGACACAAGAGAGGGTGCCCCGGGGGGATGGGGAAGTCCTGATGCGGCTCTGTCTGGGTGGCCTGGGGGTTCAGGGAGAGCCTGCGTGTGAATGTCCGTACTTGCAACATGTGTTAATTCCCTGCTGAATGCCAGGCACTGTTCCAGGACCTGGAAATACTCCAGTGTGCAGGATTATGTGACCTTCTCTGAAGGATCCCACATTCCGTGTAGGGATGGAGACGGGAAACCAGCAACATGTAAATAATACGAATTCAGCTTCTGACGTGATGTGAGGGAGACAGTCATTCAGATCGTGTGCTGGGGCAGGCCTCCTAGAGGGCCACTTGGCTGAGCAATGAGTGATGACAAAGAGCTGGCCGTGGGAGTGGGGCACAGGGGACAGTCCAGCAGGGGACAGGGATGGGTGGTGGGTAGAACTGTGTGGGAAGGTCCGAGGGGAGGGAGGGCTGGGCATGGTCCAAGTTGGTCTCAGTGGGCAGACCTCACAGGGCTTGGAGGCCCCAGAGAGATGTTCTGGCTTCCCTCTGGGTTGGGTGGGAGCCACAGGGGTGCTTAGCTGGAGGGGACGCAGGGCCGGGGCTCCCGGTGTGGGAGGCTCCAGGGCTCCCGCCCTGACCACGGTCACAGCGAGGCTGGCTGGCCAGCCCTGGTGGAGAGGAAGGAGCAGGGCCTCGGGGCGTTCACGCAGGAATAGGAGAGTGATCCGCAGTGGGGGTTCCTCACCGCAGACCTGGAGGCACAGCTGCTGAGGTCCATGGCCGCGGCCAGCATGGCCCCCTGGTAGTCTTGGCATCTCAGGTCGTAATGTCTCCGTGCGTCCATCAGCTGGTCGGAAAAAGCAGCCGCCGACTGTGTGTCAGCAAAGAGCTGTGGCAGCTGCCCAGAAGAACTCCGTTTGAACAAACTGGCAGTTGGATTCTCGGTGGCGCTGGTCTCACAGCCCTGAGTAAACCAAAGGCCGTTGACCCGGGTCCTCCAGGTGGGGGAGTTGTAAGGTATGTGAACCCCAGCTCAGTAAAGCTGAGAAACCCATCAAAGCACCTTGTAGACCAGCTGGGCCCGAGGGCCAGTTCGCTGACCTGGGCTCAGAAGAGGTGGCGTTAGCACGCCCAACTTCTGCGAGTAGCCCTTCCGTGCTGGACTAGGTCGTGACCTGCTGTAACAAAGCGCCCCAAGCCGGGCAGCTCCCAGCGACCGCAGTGTACGCCCACACAGTCTGGAGGCCAGAGACTGGGATCTGGGTGTCCATGGGCCACACTCCCTCCGAAGCCTCTAGGGGGTCCTTCTTGCCGCCTCAGCTTCTCGCAGTTTGCCGACAACTCGTGGCGACCCTTGGCGCAAAGTCACCTCCCTCCAGTCCCCCATCCACCCGTGGGCGTCTTCCCTCGGGGCACGTCTGTCTGTGTCCAGCTCTCCCTTCTGGTAAGGATGCCAGTCGTGCTGCAGTAGGGCCCAGCCACGTGGCCTCATTTAAGTTGATGATGCACCGAGAAGACCCTGTTTCCAAAGGAGGTCACACTCTGACCTGGGGGTTAGGACTCCAACACAGCACTTTTAGGGGGACACGTTCATCCCACAGCCACAGCCCCACAGCACATGTAAGAAACGGCAGTGAGGCCGTGTTTCTCCTCCGCCAGCTTCCCCTCTGCTGTGTCTCGTGGGCATGAGTGCATGGGTGGGCATCCTGCATGTGCACAGCCACCGTGTGAGTGCAAGTGGCTGGGTGCGCCCAGAGAAGCATGGAAAAGCAGAGTGAGGTGGGACTCGGAGCCCACGTGTTCCCCCTCTGGCCTTTTACTTAGAGAGTGGGGACCCGCTGAGGGAGAGTGACTTGCCCACGCAGGTCATCATCTGTTGCTGCGTGACTGACCTCCCCACGTGGATTAACATCCTCAGGTCTATTTTGCCCATGAGCCTGCAGCATAACAGGACCCCCCAGAGACAACTCATCTCTGCCCCGCTTGGCATCAGCGGGGGTGGAAGTTCTCGGAATGTTCACTCCCCACCACAGAGTGGGTAGGTGGTCCTGGACATCGGATGAGGCCTCGGCTGGAGCTGTGCCGCTTCCCCTTGCCCCCATGTGGCCTGAGCTTCCTGACAGCATGGCAGCCAGTGCCCACATGAGCTCCCCAGGAGGGAGTGAGAGCAGCGGGTGGGAACTGGACCTGCGACCTTTGTCGCTCAGGGCTGGGTGGTCACACCTCGCTGCTCATGCCTGTGTACTTGCTGGGAGTGAGTCACATGTCCTGCAGGCCCTAGGCAGCAGAGTCCTGGTGACAGTCCTTAAGAGAACAAGGCACTTGAGAGATACAGAAACAGAAGACAAGGGTCCATACCTCCACTGTTGCTGGGAAGGAGCCTAAAGACCTTTCTGCCAGCCCCTCTTGGTGTCACTGGTCAGCGAGCTGTAAGGGGCACCTGCCGAGGGCCAGCTGAGCCCAGCCCTCAGCCATGTGGATGAAGGAACCCCCGTCTCAGGAAGCTCCTGGTCCCAGCTGCACTGAACAGAAGGATGCAGGAGTTGGGGTGAGGGACCCCAGAGACATGCAGGTCTGTAGATGGAGCAGCAGAGGATTTCCTCAAGTCAGTGTTAGATTTGGGGTAAAAAATAAAATATGAGTGACCCAGTGTCAAAAGAAAAGTGAAGGTCATCACAAAAGCCAGCCAAGCGTGTGTCCTGTAAAGCAATGCAGGCAAAAGCCAGTCCCCTGGGGCCTCCTGGGGGCGTCGTGTACAGGGTAGAGTCGTGCCTGGAGTGGATGTTCGTGCACAGACGATGCCAGGCCCTCTGGTCTGAGCTTTTGGTTTTCACAGTGAAAATCACCCACTGCCACAAGGCCTAGATGCCCATTCCTGGAAGACACTCGCACTCTTTGAGATTTGTTTTTAGAAGTGAAGCATTGTCATGGATGCTTAGAAAACCCTCATTTCCCATGTGAGTCTCCTGGTTCTCAATCAGACGTGCCCCCTGTTCCCACTTCCCTTCACACAGGCCCTTTCCTAGGGTTTGCTTGTCAGCTGACTGGTTTGTGGTCCTGTGAGTGGAGTTTCTCTGTATTCATTGCGAAGCCTCTTGCTGAGATGTGGGTTTTATCATCTGTCATCAGTTTAGTCATGGAATGGTTCGCAGAGCACCCAGAAATCCTGGTAGGTGGGACTGTCCAGAAGCCCCAGGACGGCAGGCAGGACCCGATCCCGAGGCCTGAACATGGGTCTGTGCAGCCACGCCGCCCCTGCCTTGGCTTCGCCGCGGGCCTTCCCTCTCTCCGGCCTCTGGGCTCGGGCCCTGCTGTTCTGCTCGGTGTCTCTTCTTCATCCTCTGCTCATCCCGTGGGCCCGGCTCAGCCGTCAGTGTCCCCTCCGCAGCCCGCTGCGGTCGGCATCCGCACCGAGTCCTCCCGACTGTTGCCAGAGCCTCCTTCCTGCATGGCTCCGGGCTTTGACCCTTTCTTCAGGCTTTTATCACCTCTTACTTTGATTCACTCCTTTTTCTCCCTCCTGAACATGTGTCTCAACTTTTATGATAGATAAAATTGTCCTTGATCAGCAAGGACTCGGTTTGTCCCTCTTTGCAGACTCTATGGCCCAGGTCCCATGCCTGAGACAAAAAAAATGCTTCAGAAGTCACGCTTGAATAAGAGTGAACGGTCAGTGTGGCTTCTCACGTTGGAGGTTTGCAGCTGTCCTCTGCAAAGCTGCAAAGCTGGTGTCCAGAGGGTCACCATCCTTGTTCCTTCAGCTGCTGTCCACCCGTGGGGCATTTTCTCAGGGTGGGAGAGGAAGAAAATGGCCTGCCTTCTGGGCCCCATTCTCCCGAGACCCCTTGAGAGCCATGTACTGCGCTGGTTTTGCCCCTGCTGGGAGCACGATGGAGGTGGGCGACACGGAGGTAGTCTGTGGCCATTCAGAGAAGGAACAGCTCGGTGTGGTCAGACAGGTCCTGTGCCCTTTGTGGGGGTGGTAAAGAAGATCCCTGGGGGAAAATGGACTCCGGACCTGGAAGTGTGTGTCTGGGGAAGTGGGGCAGCAATGTTCATGTGACAGTGTGAGACAACAGACACCATGCCAAGGTTTGAGTGGACACCTGCCTTACTCAGAAACCCGTGGCCGCATCTGGACTCATCTTTGCCTCCTAGATGTGGGCCACCTAACAAGATCACCTCTGGGGTCATGCCTCTTGGGCCTCCCCACACCTGTTCCATCCTCTGTGTTGAATCTGTGTTCATGCAGAAGTTTTCACCCCTTCGTAATTATTTGGGTCTGCTCCCTGCTCCCAAGAGAAGCCAATCTCTGGGAACAAAGACCTTTCTGAATTCTCCCTGTGCTACACAGTTCAGAACAGGAAATACTCTTTAAGCAGAAAACGAGGAACTGTGCAGCTAGGGTGAAGAGCGAGGTGGGCACAGCCCAGTCCATTAGCAAACATTCCGTACAAACCGGACAGAGGATTGGAAAGAGCTGGGTAAGCCGGCCCCAGCCCACCACCGCGGCCGCCAGTCACTGTCCCAGCCCCTGCCACGTCCCAGTGTGTGCTCAGCAAATACTGATGCCATGTTCAAATGCCAAGGTACAATGAGTCGAAGGCATTCTGAACGTTCACCTTACCATATCTTTGCTTTCTGCCTTAGCGTTCCCAAGCCCTGGAATATGGTTTGTAGAAAAACCGTCTGTGGAACAGGATTCAGAACATACCAGTTTCTATTCAGCTGGTTCTTCTCATGAGCATATATTGCACATGAAGGGAGGGGCTCTAGGCTGTTCACACAGGCTCCCAGTGGTCACCTAATTGTCTACTTTGCTGCAGTGTCCAGTTTGAAAAACTCAGCCTCAGGGCCTGTCACCCTGAATCTCACAGTTTGCCAGTATGAATGTTGCTGTATTGTAATGTGATTCCCTTGGGGCCTGAAACTACCCATCCCTGCCTTCCACAGTATGTGATCCAGTGCCCAGCACGTATTTATATCAGGCTCGTTAACTGATTCTTTTTGTGCTGTGATAATTTGCTTCCCGTTTAATTCTCTACTGTTGGCCGCCTTCCTTCTGGCAATATCTGCATCCTCTTACCACCAATGGGCAAGAGATTGGGTGACCTAGTTTATTAAATGGTTGCAAAGAGGCTGAGATAGAGTGAAAACTCAGGTGGCATATCATTGGCCAAGCATGTGAGCATTTGGTGAAGGATTTTCATATATTTTTGACCACCAGAGTGAGTCCCTTGTTCCTTGGGGACCGACAGTGTCTTCCAGGAAGTTGAGAACTCAAGTGCCCTCCGGGTGTTTTTATGTATTCTGAAATATCAGTGCGTACGTGATTTTAGCAAAGCATGATCTAATTCACGCTGTAATCCCATCACTGACATTATGTTCGGACAAATAGACTTTGCCGGCTGGGCAGAAAACATGGATTCTTATTAGCGTTAGCAGAATCTAATTCATAAATGCAGTGTGATGGGTGTGCATGTGTGTGTGATGGTCTGGGGCAGAAGTCTTAACTCACGGCACAGATTCTTCACGTATCTGGGATCCTTTAGCATAGAATCATATTTCAGAGCTGATAATGGCCCTTAGAGAGCTCTTTCCTCATCTGCTTACTTCATAGTTGAGAAAACAGGCCTGAGAGAAGTGAGCCCATTGAGCCAGAATTAGAACCGCGGGCCCAGTGCATCTTGTGTTTATCATTCTGAACACTGGGTGGCGGTCGGACTCCGTCTGCAGCTGTCCGTCCGTTCTGGGCTCCAGTTGCGGGGAGGGACGCCCCATGAGGGGTGTAGTCAGAGCAGACTCCCCGTTCCTTTCCCAGCCCCACGGCCTGATTCAGATGGCAACATGTCTACATCTGAGACTTAACTGCTTTTGGCAATTACTCATACTAGGGGTAAATGTGTTTAAAACAAAATCAAAACGTGTGACAGTCACTGTTGAAGCTTTAATCTCTAGGGATGACATAGGTCTGGTCCCTCCCTCATGCACCGCGCCTGTGTCTTTCCCGTTCTCCCATCTGGAATGCCTTTTCCTGGTCTTCTAGACTAACCACCTCCTTGTCTTAATAATCTCAGCCAACTCCTGCTGGAAACCCTCCTTCCCCTTAGCAAATGTGGGTGTCTGGCCCTTGGGCTCCCTTTATGCCTGGAACCTCGTGGCAGTTTCTGCAAACTGCACTGTTATCAGTCGACTACATTTTGGCTTCCTTCCTCCAGTCTGTGCGCTCCTTGAGGGCCAAGGTCTCATGTGCCTCTGTATTCTCAGCACCTAGTACAGTGTCTGGCTCAGGGGGAACTTTCTGGTTACTTACATGTATGAGTGGATGGCTGTTCGGGTGCTTACGTGGAAGGAGAGAGGGGAATGGAAGGGAAAGGAGTGAAAGACAGGCAATAAAGGGAAGAGGGAGTAAGGGGAAGGAACTATGGGTGGGTGGGTGACGGATGGATGGGTGGGCAGATGATGGCTGGGGGGCTTATAGGTGGCTGGCTGGATGAGGATGATGGGTGGGTGGATAGTCGTGTGGCTTATACTTAGGCTGTGGGACCTATAGACCAGCTGCCTTACCCTCTGCTTCTGTGCCTCCTTCTTGCAGGTTGTGGGCATTTTTGCCGGATTCGGGCTCCTGCTCTTGGTGGCCTCACCCTTCCTGCTCTTGGCCACCCCATTTGTGCTCTGCTGCAAGTGCAAATGCAGTAAAGGTGACGATGACCCGTTGCCCACCTAGAGGAAGGCACGATGCTGGAACGAGACCTCTGCCTCCGGGAAGCGTGGCTCCCCTACCCCACCCTGCCGCCCCCCACTAAACATCTTTCTTGCCTTATGTGCCCCATTGAGCTTCACAGTGTCACGCCAGATGCCGTGATTTCAGGGACTGATGTCAGAATGTGTGCCGAGGCCCCAGGTGCCATTACCTGGGCAAGGGCCAGCGAGCCCCACGTGGGTAGGGCGTGTCCCCACAGAACTGGTCTCTGCACACGTGGTAAGGGAGGTGCTGTAGGAACCACATCGGGCAGTTTTCTCCCTGTTGTGATAGACTAGAATCATAGTCTGGTGGTTGCTGAAGGGACCTTCTCGGACACAGTGTTGCCCACCTTCTCCTTGGCTTCAATTGGTGCCATGTTACTAAGAGAAGAAATCTCTTAAGGATTACAGCTCACTTCAGACAGAATCTGATTATTCTGACTTAAGAAAAGCACTCTGTTTATGACAACTGTTTTTATTACTAATGGCATTTAGTAAATCCTTTTTGGAAGGCTTTTTTTCCCCCAACTGAGGAGTGAAAAATCAACAAGGTGCACATAAACCATCCTATGCCTTTCTCGAAATGTGCATTTTAAGAAGTTATTGTTGACCAACTTTTCACGCTCACCCAGTGTTCAGGTGACTTAGAAGGGCCCATGTGCTCTTTGCAGTTTTCTTGAAACTTGCAATGACTCTTTGAACCCTGTGAGCTGTGTGCTCCTGTAATGGTGGTTCTCACATTGTGACATTTCCCCGGACATACTAGTGTGTTTAAAGGAGCATATCTATCGTTAGCCTCACCATTTGTCTTGTCTCCTTGGCAATTCCACTCCACTCACAGGGCTTCTCTCTCCTCACCCAGGTGTCAGCAAATATTTTTTATGTCTTCAGAAACCAAATGTGTTCCTTGTAAGTCGTTCTGCTGGGAATCACCATGATTTGGCATCTCCCCTCGGTCTCCTCCAGTGGACAGTAGAAAGGGAACCATGCTATTGCTCCTCAGAGGCAGGGGCTCCTGGCAGGGCTGAGGGGATCCCAGGAGCTGGGGGAGATGCCTCCTGGATGTTCACTTTTCTAAGTGGCTAAGTTACTGTGGAGAAATGATGCATCTCACACAGTTCCACACCCTGTTTCTGACCGCTTTGCCCCTGCCGAACAACCTTCCATTCCACTTAGTTGTCTTGGCGAGGGGATTTCTACGGGCTGTGTGTAACTGCTGCACAGGAACCCATAGTACACATCACTCCAATTGGAAGGTGGAGAAAGTGTAGTCTTCCCAGAGAGTTGACTCTAAGATGGCTTTGAAAATTACATGTGTTTGCAAGGAGCAAACTGATAGCATTGAGCCTGGGACTTCTAAAAACAACAGGAAAACGCAGGTCTGTGAGAGCGAGACTTTAAAAAATGTATTAAGTGTTCTACAGAGGTTTAAAATGAAAGAGAAATCTGACTTCTATCTCAGTTCTTTGCTTTTTGCAGACACATTTGTAAAACGTGGGGGTTTTTCTAAGTTTGACTTGTACATTGTGTATCAGCCCCTCCTTTATTTACTAACACTGGATGGGTCAGGAAAAACAGGATCATTTCACTCTGCACCTGTAGTACTTATTTTCTTTATGAAAGTGAAGCCATTTAGGAAACCAGACTGTGTCAAAATCATGCCCAAAAAATTATCCTTATAATTACAGTTTAAAAATTCAGTAACTGAATATGAACAGGCCTGAGTCTGTCTTCTGATTAAGCCTGGGCAGTGAGTCTCTGTAGTGGGGAGTTTGTGGGAGGGTCAGGGGGTTCGATGTCTTTATCTAGCCAGTGTCCTTTAAAATGCCTATCAGAGAAAGCAGGCTCAGGGCCCTGTTTCCAGTCGCCCACAGGGCAGGCCTTTCCCCCCTCCTGTCCGTCCTGCTGGGCAGGCGGCTGCCCACTGCACGTGACATTGTCATGTGGGGGTAACCCTTTCCCTTGGGGTGGGAACCAGAACCTTCAGAGGGAGCCAGGGTGCATGCAGGGAGCCAGAGCCTGCACCCCGGGATGGTGCTCAGAGCTCTTGGTTCCTAGTGCGTCTGGCCATCCGTCTCTCCTGAAGAGTTCGTGAACCGATCATGCACGTCCATAGCCCCTACCATCCTGTGCCTCACCTCTGATGTGCTTCACGCACACCTGGTTTGACCCAGGCAGAGACAACAGAGATTCTGGGGCTGGCCGGGTCAGCATAGCACCTGCTTACTCTGAGTTTTTGCATCAGGCACGCCTGTTTGCTGTTTGATTAGTAATAACAAAGCTAAAACTGTCCATTCCCTAGAATGATACCGGTAGGATCCCGTTGAGATCCTTACGTAAGCTTGCCTCTCTCACACCTGACTCCTCTCCTTTGGGTAAGGATGTCACACCCGTTCTTCACAGCGCTGCGGAATCAGCCAGGCCTGATGCAAAATATAAACAAACGGGGGAAGATGGCCCATGTTCTGGATTTTACCTTTGCTGGCATTCTCCAGTAGAATGTGGGGGGCTATGCATTTAATAGGTGGGCTCAGTCCTGGTGTTCAGCACAGTTTGTCTTAATTGAAAATGACATTCCCCTTTACAGATGGTTAAAATGCCGACCCCCGAGAAGCACACATACCCTTGTTCGTTTAGAGGCCTTTACATCCTGGGGAGCAGGGAAGGAGATCCGCAGGCCTGGTGGTCTGCTGCTGTCGGGTTGGGGTGGCGGTGGGGGGCAGGTTGGCCTGGTGGTTTTACCATCCCTTTGGGAGCTGAGCACATTGGGAGGTTTTCCTGGGAGCGGCTGACCTCAGTCTGGCTCTGATGTATGTCCTGGAGCCCCGCCAGCCAGGCCTCGCAGTCGTCAGAAGGAGCAGATGTGTTCCAGAAGGAGTCGCTGTAGATGTTCACATGGCAGAGACCGACTTGGGGTCTGAGCCGACACACTTAGCATAAACAACACCTTCGATTGCACAAATTGCTGTCCAAATCAGTTCTTCCTCAAACCCCAGGAGTAGCTGCAGATGGAGGAACCCACATCTGGCACCTCTGGCATCATTTTAAAGGAGAAAAATTCTCCTCCTCACAGCATCTAATTCCTTAAACCTGGGTTAGAAACCCAGCTATTTCCTAATAAGAATACAAGGATCATGGGAGGAGGCTGATCAGATATGCAAAAACTATTCCAAGATGAGTGTCTTTTTCACCTCTGTTACAAAAGTCAAAAGTTATTTAACAAATTAGAAGAGAAAATTTTCCCTTGTCTTCAAAAATTGGGATTGGAAAGAACCAGGATGGGCCATTTGTATATTTCTCAGATTCTTGTTTATTAATAAATACCCCTGTATGTATATATAAATCACATTGAAATCATCAAGGGGAAAACATTTTGCATGTATAAAGCTTCTTGAAGGTCTCTTTAAAAAACACCAAAGCTTGTTTATTCCTTATAATTAATCCAAGCCCTTATGAAAATAAATAAAACAAAGGGATTATGACTGGTATTGCCAAAAACACCAAAAGGAACGCAGGGGCCTGCAGTGAATTATCGTAGCTAGGAGAGCATGCCGGGTTGGTGTGTGAAGCCCCCTGGGCTCCATCCTTCCTTTGGTTTGTCTAATCCTGTCTTCCACAGTTCCAGGAGCCTTCAGTTAGGGGCGGGTACCTGCCACATGCCTGACCTTTCCTTCATTTTTTGCTCATTTTACCATGGGTGTATTTTAATCTTGTATAAAAATATGCACGAATGGGTCCATATCAGTTCTTCCTCATGTGTACATTATGTATTTGACAAGTGGTGGTAAAAACAAAAACAAAACAAATTTGGTTTGTGTTTTTGAAATATCAGTACATTCTGTGCCACTAACACTGTGATGTATAAAAGAGCTGTTTGAATGCCTTTTGATGTTGTGTTTTGTACTTTGGAATCATATGGAAAAGTTTGATTTGTAATTTCAATACATATTTTAAATGTATTGGGTCTTATGTAGTTTGTCCTCCTGTAGAAGGGATTTCTTTTTAAAGGTATTTTGGCTGGAATACAGGTTACTTTTGTAAATCCTGTCTGGCTCCATCTTTTGTACATTCTCTGTTGACTAGTGGCCTGGAGATTGAAAAGATGACGAGGTTTGAGTTGGGAGGGAGAGAGGATGGGGCAGGAGAGGGTCTTAGCGCACTGGAGGACAGCTTTTGGGTGCTGAGGTTTTCTCTTGGCAGCGTGCGGATGAAGTGAAGGTTCCTGTGTCCAGGCTTCTCCCGCGGCCCTGGTCAGCTAGCTCACTACGCATGTGTGGGCAGTACATTGTTATTTACTCTATATAAAGAGCTCTGCCCAGTGCTCTGGACAACATGGTGGCAGGGCTGCAGGACAGCAGAGCAGAGACTGGAGTGGTGGCAGCGCCGAGGACAGAGACTGAGACGGCTGCAGGGGCCGAGAGGCCCAGAGTCAGAGACCAGCTTGCTGCCTGCAGACTCGCTCTGAGTGGACAGGATTCTGAGTGGACGGGATTCTAGTGACTGACCTGCCACCGTGGGAATAAAGTTGGGTATAAACCCTTTCACCCCAAGAATGTTCTACTGTCATTTCTTTGGTCACATGAATCCACAGTGAATTTGCCCAGGGCTGAAACCATTGGCAAGACAATTGGCGATAGTCAGCAAGATTCATTGTTGACCAAGGAAAAGAACAGGCTGCCCTCATGGGAGGAGTGTTTCAGCAGCTGCACCTATGGATGGGGAGACACTCGAGCGTCCCCTGTGGACATGTGGTGCTGGAAAGGGGTGGAGGACTGGGGTCCACCCCAGGAGAAAGAAAATTTGTTGCTGACTGAAATGGCATCTCTATGAAGTGCCGTGGAAATGGTAAAGGATGTGCCAGCCCGAGAGGGGGCAGCACCAGAGCGCAGGCCGCCAGGGGCCGGGGGGCAGGGGAAGGATGGAGTGGGACCGTCAGCCCCAGAGACGGAGGCACGGAGGTCTGACGAACAGGTGCGGGTGGAGGCCCTGCCGGTGCTGGAGGCATCGGCCCCTCGCTTGAAACCCCCCCTGGTTGAAAGCTGGTGGAAGCCAGAAGGACGCAGCAACCACAGGTTCGTCCAGGCTGAGGAGCGCCCCACGCTTGCTTCTATCCTCAGGCTCAAGCACAAAAGGAAATACGGTCTGCTTCTTGAAGGAAGAATTTAAAGGGCCCTGTGAAGGTCACAAGGACCCAGATGTGGGTTGGTTTGAAAAGGCAGGAGCCGACAGAGAGAAATTGGATGACCGGAGCTGTGGCAACACCTGAGACCGGAGCAGCGGTTCCGGCTGCTGAGGACAAAGCAAAGGCAGAGATAAAGCAGCAAGATCGGCCTGTGTGTCTGCAAGAATCTGCTGGAGAGGCTGGAGAAGGTGGGTATTACAAGGCCCACCCATGGTTCTTCTACAGGGTTCCAGCTTCCTCGCACAGGGACCACTGCAGAGGACTGAGGGCACAGAGCTGGAGAGGTGAGAATCCTGGAGGGGTGGAGGGGGGTAAAGTGATGGTTCCTGTGGCCAGGATTCTCCCCTGGCCCCGGTTGTGGGCAATACATTGTTACCGACTCTGTATAAAGTGCTCCACCCAGTGCTCTAGGCGACACAGTGGCCGGGCTGCAAAGATGCAGGAGAGCAGAGATGAGACTGGAGTGGTGGCAGCACCGAGGACAGAGACTGAGACGGCTGTGCAGACAGAGAGGCCCAGAGGCAGAGACGGGCTTGCTGCATGCAGACTCGCTCTGATGAATGGGATTCTAGTGACTGACCTGCCACCTGGAAATAAAGTCGGGTATAACCCTTTCACCCCAAGAACGTTCTACTCTCATTTCTTTGGCCACACTGAATCCATAGCGACCTTTCCTGGGGCTGAAACCCATTGGCAAGACAGAGCGTTCTCAACTCTGGATGACAAAACGATCTGGGTCATCAGGTGTGTCACCACACGAGCTTTGTCTCTTTCCATTGGTGCCCAACTGGTGATGCGGTGTCAGAGAGCATCTCTGCTTGGGATGCTCTTCCTCCATGGTCCACGAAGACACGTACTTCCAAACCCATCAAAGTTTATGGAGACCATCATAAAAATTAGGGAGCGTCCTTTTACTACTGAGGAAAAAATGAATAAATACAATACTGCTTATTTAACAGGAGAAATAATAGTAACTGTGTATTTGACCTTGATTTTCATTAGCTTCATCTAAACTTGATGTGAGAATGTATCCCTCATGCGTTAACATCAAGTGGAAAGCTAGGAGGACGCACTCGGTTACCTGTCTTGTGGTTACATTTTAAAAGCATCCTTAGAGTCTTCAGGGGCAGATTGAGGGAGGAGTATTACCTGGGGGGTCATTGCCGGCACTGAAGATGCAATACCCCAGCCCGTCACCTGAACAATCCGCAATCAGCAATCAGAGAAGGGGTGACAGGGGTGTGGGATGTACGCCCAGCACCCGGGCCAGGACGGAGGTCAGAGCATGTCAGCGAAGGCTGTCGGCAGGAGGAGGTATGGGCAATGGGTCCTGCAGGTGAGTGGGCGCGAGCCAAAGTGGGGTGCAGGGGCCAGGGGACGGCCCCACCCGACAAGTGCAAGAAAGAGCCTGCCCGTCTCCTGGGGCTGTTGTAACAACACACACTGGGTGACTTCACCACCAGAAATGTATTCTTCCTGGGTTCTGGAGGCTGGAAGTCCAGAACCACGGTGGGAGCAGGGTTGGTTCATTCCCGGCCTCTCCTGGCCTCTGGGGTTTGCTGGCGGTCCTTGGTGGCCCTTGGCGTGTGGGCGCATCACCCGATCTCTGCCTCTGTTCTCACACAGAGTCTGCCCTGTGTGCGTGTCTGTCCAAATGCCCTCTCTTGATAAGGGCACCAGTCACTGGATTAGGGCTCATTCTAGTCCAGTATGATCCCATCTTAACTTGATCATCTTAAAAGACCCTATTTGAAATAAAGTCACATTCATGGGTACTGGGGGTCGGAACTGCAGCACCTGTTGGGGGGACACCCTCAGCCCATAGGAGGGAGCCTGCCTGGCCCACTGAGGCCCATCAGGGAGGCAGACAAGAGCGAAGAGTGGCGGCTGTATTTGTCCCGGGCGAGGTGCAGACGCTCCTGTTGCTGAAGCTCCCCCCACCACCAACTCTGAAACATTCCTGTGACTCTGGCCAACCTTGATTCTTTAGGGTCACCTGGGATGTGGGAAGAGCCCCGCAGCACACTGCCGGGAATCATCACTTTTAAGTAAAATAAATCCATGTGGAAGTGTATATGACCACATGGGCACATGTATTTAGCCCCCCACCAAAAGAAAAGATATTCTCTCCGGGCTAGCACTTGCCACTATTAACTCTTAGAGGGACCCAGACTACCAGAGGCTGGCACAGTGCTGGGTTTCCCAAGGCACTTCTCCCCTCCTTCCTGACGCACCCTTACCAACTCGCACAGGGATCCTCCACAACTGTCCTTGTCCCTGGGAGAGTTTCAATTCTGAGTCTGAAGACGTGAAGACAGAGGATACTACCTTTGAAGACAGAAGAGCCCAGTCCTAGTTATGGGATGTAGTTCCTTTAAGGCACGTTGACCATCTTGGATGCTTTCTCTGTAGACAAACCATGCCTCACTGCCACCCCAGAGTCTTATATGATGACCTTTTGGGGTGTGTGGGCCAGAATCTGGCTGGAGACAGTTCCGTTTGTAGGACACACACTGTCCTTCCCAGATCAACATTCTTTTCAGATGAAACTGATCCTCTCAAAATTCCAGGGGAGGAAAATACCACATGGTCCTCCCTTTCCGGAATAATCTTCCTGTGCTGGACTCACCCTTCTCCCTGTGATGGTGAGAGGTGACAGTGTGCCTATGTGGATGAGGTACCGATAATGTTTTCAAAGGGGGACCATCTCCTTCGGGAATGTGGTTGACCACAAGTGCCTGAAACCTTGGATAAGAACTGTTGAAATTCTTCTCTGTAAAGGTGGGGAAACGAGGGCTCAGGTCACCATGTCTTCCCAGTAACAGAAGAGAGAGAGAGTCAAAGAGACATGGACGGGTGTGTCCACCAACTGCAGTGTTTGGACCTCTCGTGAATCTGATTAGAACCAACTAATGTCAAATCTGGAATTATGACAAGATTTAAACATGGAGATTTGTGAGCCCAAGTGATAAATGTTCATTTTTTTGCATGTGATAATTGTATTAGAGTTATGTTTAATGAAAAGAGTCCTTACGCTTTAGAAACATCTGGGGAAATATTTGCAAGTTGACCATAAACCATCTGACATTTGCTTCAGAATACAAAGATTGGACAAAGTGAATGAGATAACGGAGAAACCCAGAACTGGTGGCCATGGTCTGGCAGTTGAAGTGGGTGTTGAGTTCATAGGGATTCTTTATACTGTCCTATGTGCTTCTGTATTTGGTCAGAGTTTTCCATAATAAAAAGCTAAAGCAAATCTGATGGTGGCTGCTTTTTGTCGCTTCTCCGTGTGCTCATGCAGCCGCTGCGGATGCCTGCGGCGATGGCACATGTGACGGTGATCGCCGGTCCCTCTGTGTCCCAAGCATCACTCCTCTTCTCAGAGATGCAGCCCATCCAAACACGACTGACAACAGGGGCGTCCCAAGGTCTCTCGCGTCAGACGCGGTGCCACAGCCTCGCTGCCTTCTGCCCACCCCCTTTCATTTCCCACATTTCTCTAATGTCTTTTGCCCATTCACTACGTTTCCTCAAAGCTTTTGAAAGTCAAAGGCGATTCTGATGTTGTCTAATTGTCAGGTTCCCACTGGACCATGCTGGCCATCTGGCTCCCGGAAAGATGTCTGTGGCCAAAAAGATTGCGACAAAGGAAACCTGGCACTGCCCGGGTGGGCGCTGGTCCCTTACTAAGTGCATGGTCACCTTTGGGGTTGGACGTGTCCTTTGTCCCCCAAATGCCAAAGGACTGAGCAGGGCCAGTAGGCCAGCGTCCTGCAGAGTCTTTTTGTCTTGCCAGAACTTCAGCCAGAATAAACCAAAATGACGTGGAAGGAAGGGCCACTTTTTCTGGGCTCCAA